CCCCCATCCCCCATCCCCCTGATTTAACATTATTTACTGACCTGTGGCCGTACTACTTCTTATTTCATTAACAGGTAGTGATAGCGCTGGTCCAAGGTCAAGATTCAGGTATGGACCTCGAGGTTGACCTTCCTATCACCATAGGAACAGTACCGCTGCGCAAGTCTTACGGGCTCATAAGTAAGATGATTCCGTGTTCTCAACTGAACGAGAGCAAGTTTAACAACAAGACATTCGTTACGATTAAACACAGTAAGTCACTACACTATGGAGTCAAGGGATTCTTTTGGGGGGGGAGGGGGTAATTGGTTCAGTCCAATTTCAGACCACGTCAATATGGCAGCTCTTCCAGCGACAGCTCCATTGACACGCCTTGCTAAATGTTAAAAGTTTGACTGAAAACGCCTGACGTCGAACTGCAGTTTTAGGTTTGCGATACCTAGCAAGAACGTCGTGCTAAATGTCTCTATAGTTTGGCGTTCATAACATAAGGCGCGATGAGAATTAATAATAATCAATTGTTAGTTAATATTTAATAATAAAACCCGATAATTATTATCCCATTATTATTATTATTATTATTATTAACTGGCTGCGCGACAACCTCCAAACACCACCTTCACGCTAGATATCCAAACTCAACCCACATTTAACTAATCCTTTTTTTCTGTTATTCAACAGTGTCTCAAGTGAATCTCTTTTCACTCTCTGCAGTAGCGACTTGATGAGTCAGTCAGTCAGTCAGTCAGTCAGTCAGTCAGTCAGTCATTCAGTCAGTCAGTCAGTCAACTTTGCAATAGGCCCTTTGCAGTTAACGGTCACGTGTCTGTACTGGACTGCAAAATTTTTGTTTTTATATTAAATTGGTGATTCTTTTTAGCTACTTGTAAAGAACTGAATGAAAACATGTGTATCCAGTGTGTTACGAAATGCAGTTTTATTACGATCTCTCGAAACAGGTTGTAGAAAGTTTGTTTGCAGTCCAGTAAATTTCACCCATGGGAATCAAGATGTTCATTCATTTGCTCTCAGTGAATTAATCAGCACGTGATTGCTTAGCTGCAAAGGGCCTATTAAGATTATGAACTTTATATAGGTGCGTATCTGTTGATGAAAGGAATGTCTTGAGATTCAGATCGGATCTTAAGTCGACGTGTCAACAAAGAAATTTTTTATTTTATAATAAATAATGATTTGTAAATAGTGAAAATAGTATAGTTATATGATATCTTGTGTTTTAAATACAAGAGAGATTTTAAGAGATTTTTTGTATGATTGTTTCTCGCCTTTATTGAGTATCACAAATTTTAGAGATGTTCTAATGTATCACTTAGTAAAAATCAATGTTTCTGGAAAATATTGGATTTTTTGAACGTTAAGTGAAGGTAACTTAAAATTAACAGGAAAAGAGCAAATTGATTAAAAAGTATTGAAGAGATTTGTGTTTAGTTGTCTAATAATGAATCCTTGTTCTTTTCTTAATTATCATCTGTCTTTTCCTTTCTTTGTCTTCTTCTTTGTCGTCGTC